CTCCCGCATTGTAGCTGACTAGGTCGAACCCGTGGACTTCGTCCACGACCAGCAGGTCCCCCTGGCGGGCCTCCACGTTGGGCCCCTGCCCAGGAAAAAGCCACCCCGAAGCCTTCGGTGACTTTTTCCGGCCGCCATTCCGAAGTTGGAAGGCGGGCGCTTCCTCCTCTTCGTCCGCCTTCCGCTCCTCGTCAGCCTGGACAGCCGTCGGAGCATCACAGACGGCTATGGTGGGTCTGCGGTGTGCCTCCCGCCGCTTGTCTGCTCCCCCTGGTTTGAACCATCTTGAGAGCACCTGGGGCCGAGAAAAAAGTCACCCGAAGGGCTCTGGTGACTTTTTTCCGGTTGACTTTTCGAAGCCTGATAGCGGGCGCTGCCTTCTGCTTGGGAACTGTTTGGGGGCCTATCGGGGATCCTTCTCGGCCGTCTTGCGGCCTCCTGGTGTCCTCTTGTGGCCCTCTTGGGCCGCCTTGGGTGCCTCTTGGGGCCGTCTGGGGCCGTCTTAGGCCGTCTGGGGACCGTCTAGAGGCCCTCTGGGGCTTTGTACTTCACCGATCGTTCTTTTACTAAGCGTCTCTGGGCCTGCTTGGTGGTCCTTGTGGGGGTCTTCTCCGGGCCATTCTGAAGCGTTTTTGGGCTGCTCTGGGAGCGTTTTGGGACGTCTTGGGGTCATTCCCCACATGTTTCGTGGGGTTCTGGTTTTCTTCCCTGCCGCGGCGCACCCGCGTCTCCTCACCTCCCCTCCTCCTCTTCATTCCTCTCCTCAACCCGCGGCCAACACATGCACGGCAAGTACATGAGACACGCGTCTACATACAGCCGCACGCATGCACACACTCGCACACACAAAACGCATGTTCACTGCATCATACACCCAAGACGTCTGCACAATCCGTGAGGGTCGTCCAGGGCACAGCAGGCATGGCATATTCTCGACACCATAGGGGGTGCGCAGGGGGTGGTTTCTCACCGCGGCCGCTATCCGTGACGGTCGTCTAGGACATAGCAGGCAACGCATATTCTCGACACCGTAGGGGGTGCGCAGGGGGTGGTCTCTCACCGCGGCCGCTATCCGTGACGGTCGTCCAGGGCACAGCAGGCATGGCATATGCTCGACACCATAGGGGGTGCGCAGGGGGTGGTCTCTCACCGCGGCCGCTATCCGTGACGGTCGTCCAGGGCACAGCACAGCAGGCATGGCATATTCTCGACACCATAGGGGGTGCGCAAAGGGTGGTCTCTCACCGCGGCCGCTATCCGTGACGGTCGTCCAGTGCACAGCAGGCATGGCATATTCTCGACACCATAGGGGGTGCGCAGGGGGTGGTCTCTCACCGCGGCCGCTATCCGTGACGGTCGTCCAGGGCACAGCAGGCATGGCATATTCTCGACACCATAGGGGGTGCGCAGGGGGTGGTCTCTCACCGCGGCCGCTATCCGTGACGGTCGTCCAGGGCACAGCAGGCATGGCATATTCTCGCACACCATCCGTGAGGGGTCGTCCAGCACAGCAGGCATGGCATATTCTCGGGGGGTGCTGGTCTCTCACCGCGGCCGCTATCCGTGACTGTCGTCCAGGGCACAGCAGGCATGGCATATTTTCGACAGCGTAGGGGGTGGGCAAGGGGTGGTCTCTCACCGCGGACACTATCCGTGACGGTCGTCCACGGCACAGCAGGCATGGCATATTCTCGCCACCATAAGGGGGTGCGCAAAGGGTGGTCTCTCACCGCGGCCGCTATCCGTGACAGTCGTCCAGGGCACAGCAGGCATGGCATATTCTCGACAGCGTAGGGGGTGCGCAGGGGGTGGTCTCTCACCGCGGCCGCTATCCGTGACGGTCGTCCAGGGCACAGCAGGCAGGCATATTCTCGACACCAAAGGGGGCTGCGCAAGGGTGGTCTCTTACCGCGGCCGCTATCCGTGACGGTCGTCCAGGGCACAGCAGGCATGGCATATTCTTGACACCGCAGGGGGTGGTGGGTCTCTCTCACCGCGGCCGCTATCCGTGACGGTCGTCCAGGGCACAGCAGGCATGGCATATTCTCCATACCACAACGGGGCTGCGCAGGGGGGTGGTCTCTCACCGCGGCCGCTACTCGTGACGGTCGTCGAGGGCACAGCAGGCATGGCATATTCTCGACACCATAAGGGGTGCGCAGGGGGTGGTCTCTCATCGCGGCCGCTATCCGTGACGGTCCTCCAGGGCACAGCAGGCATGGCATATTCTCGACACCATAGGGGGTGCGGAAGAGGTGGTCTCTCACTGCGGCCGCTATCCGTGACGGTCGTCCACGGCACAGCAAGCATGGCATATTCTCGACACCATAAGGCGGTGCGCAGGGGGTGGTCTCTCACCGCGGCCGCTATCCGTGACGGTCGTCCAGGGCACAGTGGTATCGGCGGGGCAACGGCCACCAACATCATTCTCACATGCTTCACTTCAGCTCTCATCACTCCAGCCATAATTTAAATAGGTGGGGTTCCTCGGTAGCGTAATTTTAGGCCGTCACGGGGCGTCCGGGAGGCCTTGGACTGTCTTGGAGCTCTCCTGAGGCTGCCTGAGGCCGTCTTGGGAGCCTCTTGGGGCCCCAGCTCTCTTGGGGCCGTCTTGGGGTTCTGTGAGGCCGTTTCAGGGCTCTCTGGCGTCGTCTTGGGGCTCTTGTGGGCCATCTTGGAGCCCTCTGAGGGGCCGCTGGCGTCTTCTTGGGGCGGTTTGGGAGGCCTCTTGACGTGTCCTGGGCCGCTGGGGAGCACACCAGGCGGGCATACTGAAAATAGACGTTTCCCTATAGGAATTTTGACGATTTGTGCCTCTTTGGCGTGCGCTCGGGGCCCTCTTGGGGCGTCTTTGCGGCCTCTTGGATCGTCGTGGAGCCCCCACTGGAAGGCTTCGGGCCCGGGTGGGCCGTCTCGGGAGGCCGCCTTGGAGCGCTCTTGGACGGTCTGGGAACCCCTCTAGAGCGCCTCTGGGACCGGCCTGAGCGATTCGGCCCCGTGGTGGCGCCGTAAAGGCGCGATTTTGTGCATTTGAGGCCCTCAAAAGGGCCCAAGACGGCCCAAGGGGAGCCCAAGACGGCCCAAGAGGGCCCCAAGACGGCCCCAAGAGGGGGACCACGGACCGAAAAGTCTGGCCTTTCGCTCCAAGACGCTCCCAGGAGGCCCCAAGAGCCCCCCAAGAAGCTCCAAGAGGCCCCCAAGAGGCGTCCCAGGAGGCCACCAGGAGGCCAAAATCATTGACTTCCTAGAGGAATACATGCATTTTTAGCATACATGGCTTTTCGGCTTTCACGGCGCTGACGACGGTCCAAGAGGCCCCCAAGACCGCCCCAAGACTGCCCAAGAGGCTCCCAAGAGGCCCCCCAAACGGCCCAAGAGGGCCCCAAGACAGCCCAAGAGGCGCCCAAGACGGCCCAAGAGGGCCCCAAGACGGCCCCAAGAGGGGGACCACGAACCGAAAAGTCGAGCCTTTCGCCCCAAGAAGCTCCAAGGATACCCCAAGAGCCCCCCAAGAAGCCCCAAGAGGCCCCCAAAAGGCCCCCCAGAGGCCCCCAAAAGGGATCCGAAATGGCCCCAATAGGACTCCCAAGAAGGTCCAGAGACGCCAAATGAAGAGCGATCAGTAACGCAAAATAACTCTTCACACCAAGGCTCCCAAGAGCGAGCGGTGACGTAAACAAACTGATAAGACCAAGGCTCCCAGCAGAGAGCGGTGACGTAACAAGTTCCTGACACCAAGGCCCAGCCAAGGCTCAGGAACGGGCGGCAACGCAACAATCTCTGAACACCAAGGCTCCCAAAAGCGAGGGGTGACGTAACCAGCTCTCAACGCCAAGGCTCCAAGTACGAACGGTGGTGTGAATAAATTCGGTTTCTGTTTCTGCAGCGCTCTTTCCGTTTCCGTGCCGGCCCCAGGTCTCTCGGGCCGTCTTGGGGCCGTTTCGGGCCGTGTGCGGGCCTTCTTGGGCCGTTTGGTGGCCCTCCCCAGGCCCTCTTGGGCCGTGCAGGGGCGATTTGGGAAGCCCCCAGGGCCATCGTGGGCCGTTGTAGGCTCGAAAACAGGGAAGCCCTCGAAACCTCCAGAAAACCGCACCGACATTGCATGTTGGCGCCGGCCATCTCTGAAGTTTTTTGGGGCCGTCGTGGGGCTCTGGTCTGGTCGGCTTCCGCCTTTTCGGACGTCTGTGAGGCTGTCTTGGGGCGATCAGGGGGTCCTGGAGCCATCGGTGAGCGCTCTAGTGGCCTCCCGGGGCCGACGAGGAGCGCACCAGAGGCTGTCCAGGCGGCCCGCGGGCTTTTGTGCGGTCCAGGGCGCCGCCACTGCTTCTGGTGCTCGCACGCGCTCCGCCCGGAATTATAGTACACATGACGCTCGGCTCCAACCTCGCATCCAACAGCCCACGGAATAACGATACTGCTTGCTGCCATTGTCCGCGTGTGCCACACGCACTGATGCCAGCGTTGTAGGTGATGATCTCGGGCTGTAGCTTCTCATCCCGAAGCTTCTTGAGCAACGACAGAGCATGTCGCCATCGTCCACTTTTTTCGCACGCGCTGATGCCAGCGTTATAACTGATAATCGTACACTCGACCGCCATATCTGACATGCGGTCGAGCAACAACAATGCGCGCTTCCATTGTCCACTTTTCTCGCACGCGCTGATGCAGGCGCTGCACGTGATGGTGTTTGGCTCCAAATTCTCCTCCAACAGCGCAGCGAGCAACGACAGCGCGTGCTGCCATTGCTTGCCTCCCTCGCACGCGCTGACTCCGACGCTGTAGCAGATGACATCGAGCTCCAACATCACCTCCCGCATGTCGCTGAACAGCGCCAGAGCCCGCTGCCACTGCTCTCCCCTCTTGCACGCGCTGACCCCGGAGCTGTAGCTAACTAGCGTGAGTCCGTGGAAAATCATGGCGCGCAGGTCCAGGCGTTGGCCCCGAACGCGCGCGCGTCGCCGAAGCTTGCGGGGGGGCAGGGCGCGGTGGAGGGAAGGCATGAGGGTTGGAGACAAGAGTGCGTAGAGGGAATATACTTGTGCAAGCAAGCGGGCGCGTCGCTGGGACTTTGGGCGCGCGTGTGGGAACATGTTTCGGATTTTGTGTTTTGGCTTGGGACATCCCGCGGTAGTTCTGAGCCTGCGGGGCCAGCAGGAGAAAAAAAGAGAGAGGGAGAACAAGAGGAGGGGGAGGAGGAAGACGAGGAGGAGGTGGATGAAGAGGGGGGGGAGGATGAGGAGGAGAAGGAGGAGGAGGAAGAGGAGGAGGGACAGGGGGAGGAGGAGGAGGAATATACGAGTGGTGTTTGGCAGCTGACGCCTCTGATTGAAAGTGGTGGCGCATGTGTTCCTAAAAGTGAAGTACGGGTCACCCCCCCTGCGGCCGTCTTCGTTGGCCGAAGGGTCGTAGGGGGGTCCTCGGACCCTTCCTGTGCCGATCGACGGCGACATGGACAGTTGACAGGTGGCGGCGGGAACCCCCGCAGCCCCATTAATGGAAGCTGCGAGGGGTGCGAGGCCTAATGGCGGTCCTCGCCGGCGAGGCCTATTACAAGTCCTCGTCGAAGGGAAGGCGAGAGAAAAAGGTCATCCCGAGTGACGATACCGTCCGCGATGCCTCCCACTCTTGAGTGTCGATGCCGCCCGCGAGGATTCCTGCAAATGTGTGCCCAATGCCATCATGTGAAATTTCGACCCCGAGACTGAGCACCCTCTGCGCGATCCTTATCCCACGTTGCGGGATAGATGCTGGGAGGAGGGAGCGGGGGGCACAGCATTGACATAAGCAGCTCCGCTGTGTTCTAGCCAAAGAGAACTGGACCTCAGCAGCAAGACCCAAATCGTGCGAACACGGCCGAACCGAACCCCAGGAGAGCGCACCAACAGCGGGGCAGAAACTCAATTATCAACGCACCGCGCCACCGGAAGAACGGGCCGGTGCGACGAAACGGCGGGCGACATGCGGTGACGTCGCCTGGCCGGACCTCGGCGGTCTGCAGGAGGCCGCCGCGACCCTTCGGAGGTGACAGGCCGGATGTGGTAACGGCTGATCCTCGGTGACGTGTCCGAAGCCCCCCGGGGCCTACTGCGGTCACCCACGCCTGCGTTCCCGCCTCGGAACAGGAGGAAGAGAAGGAGGTGGTGGAAGACAAACAAGCCGGACCGCGCGGTCACGGCCACGGGCGGTCCTGAAGCGGAATCCTGAGAAAAGCCACCTGAACCTGATCGCGCTGCGGGGTGGGGGCGGGGTGGGAACCCAGAACAGCGGAGGGGGAAACGAAGGGGGCAGGTGAAAAGAGCTGGAGCGGGGGAGAACAAACACAACGGGGAAAGAGGGCACCAAAGTCATACACAACGGGGAAAAAGAGGCACCACATTGATTAATTCTCGATGTTTTCATGTTTTTGTCAAAGCTCGAAAGGTCTATGAAGTAGATCTTCCTGGTAGGTCGGCGGGGAGCGGGCATGACTACATGAACGCCACTACGGCACGGGTCGCGCCGTCTCCCTTGTTTGGTAGGGAGAGGGACGCGACCGCGCGAGTGCCACTAAGAAAGGGGGGTCATCCCGAGTGACGATGCCGTCCGCGATGCCTCCCAAGCCTGAATGTCGATGCCGTCCGCGATGCTTCCCACTCCTGACGCGGGATGCCTGCAAATGTGTGCCCAATACCAGCACGTACTGTTTCGACTCCGAGACTGAACACCCTCCGCGCGATCCTGAGCCCATGTTGTGGGATAGATGCTGGGGGGGGGGGGCGGGGGGCACAGAAATTACATAGGCAGCCCCGCTGTGTTTTAGCCAAAGAGAACTGGACCACAGCAGCAAGACCCAAATCGTGCGAACACGGCCGAACCGAACCCCAGGAGAGCGCACCAACAGCGGGGCAGAAATCAACGCACCGCGCCATTGGAAGAAAGGGCCGGTGCGACGAAACGGCGGGCGACATGCGGTGACGTCGCCTGGCAGGGCCTCGGCGGCCTGCAGGAGGCCGCCGCAACCCTTCGGAGGTCACGGTCCGGATGTGGCGGCGTTGACCTGGCTGGTCCTCGGTGACCTGTCCGAAGCCCCCCGAGGCCTTTTGAGATCAACCGTGGATGTTCCCACGGTCTGCGTCCCCGCCAAAGAAAACGAAGAAGTGGTGGAAGACGAACAAGACGGACCGCGCGCCACGGTCACGGAAGGTCCTGAAGCGGGATCCTGAGAAAAGCCACCTGGACCTGATCGCGCAGCGGGGTGGAGGCGGGGTGGGAACCCAAGACAGCGGAGGGGGAAACGAAGGGGGCAGGTGACGAGGCCGGAACACGGAACGGGGGAGAACAAACACGACGGGGAAGGGGTCACCAAATTCGTACATTCCCGCTGTTTTCTGTCTTTGTCAAAACCAGAAATGTCCATAAAGCAGATTTTCCGGGTAGGTTGGCGGGGAGCGGGCATGACCACATGAACGCCACTACGGCACGGGTCGCACCGTCACCGTTGGTTGGTGGGGAGAGGGGCACGACCGCACGGGTGCCACTACAGCACGGGTCGAGCCTTCACATTTGGGGCGCAAGGTGGGGGTGGCTCAAATGCCAAAATGTAGAAATTGCCTGACGCTGACAAGCGCAATCAACCGGCAGGGGAATACATCCCGTTGTGTGCTTAGAGGTGGCACATGTGAGCCTGGAGGAGGAGGAGGAGGAGGAGGAGGAGGAGGAGGAGGAGGTGGAGGAAGAGGAGGAGAAGGAAGAGGAGGGAGAGGTGCGGGGGGAGGAGGAGGAGGAGGAGGAGGAGGAGGAGGAGGAGGAAGGAGGAGGAGCAGGAGGAGGAGGAGGAGGAGGAGGAGGAGGAGGAGGAGGAGGAAGGGGGGCAGGAGAGGGCGGAGAGAGATTGATGAGGGGAGAACCGAGCAGGGAGGAGCCGGAGGGGAAGGTAGTTTGGGAGCCTCGTGTGGGGTCTAGGGGGGCTGTCTGGAGTGCCTCCTGCGTGCCTGTTGGGGGCTTTTTGGGTAACGTGGGGTCTCGTGGGGCCATGGAAGAATAACACGTAGCATGCTGCAAAGGTAAAACGCTCAGGCTTTTTGCCAATCGCGCCAACGCTGGGCGCAATTAGCGAAAACCCGACCTTGTTTTTATGCCGTGGAAAATCGCCACAATGTCGCTGGCCGTCCTGAAAGTTTCTGGGGCCGTCTTTGGGCTTTGGGCTCTATATATGCCTTTTGCAGGAGACTGGCTCGAGGACCTCCTGGGCCTGGCTTCGGGCCACTTGCGGCGGCCAAGGGCCGTGCGCTGGCTCTCCGATGTGCAGCAATATTGGAGCACGGTGGCGCTACCGTCGGGGCGTTGACCTAAGGAACCCTAAATAAGGAACGAGGCCCCTTTTTTCCATCAGTCAAGCTTCGATTTCATATCGAAAACCTAAGGAAAACCTGAGGCAAGCTGCGAAACACTTAAGGAACGCGGAGCCCCTCCCCAACGAAAAGGGTTCCTTCTTCAGGGCCCCGACTGTACCGTGGCCGCTCTGAACGCTTTTCGACGGGTGATGGCCACCTGGGGTCTGCTGCGCAAAAAGGAAACCAGGTACAGAAGAGGTCTTTCCAGAGTGCAGAGGCAAGCGTTTGATGCTTCAGGCAGCGCTGCTCTGAAACAACGCTCTGTGAGACGAAAGCGGTACGAAAGCCTCTTCACTGAAAGTGACAGCGTGACCTTTTGAGTGGGGGCCCGAAGGCGGCCGAAGTCTCCAGAATTGAAAAAGTCGATGGGAAGGTGGAGTCAGAATCGGCGAGAAGTCTTGTGGCTCGGAGGCCGTGTCTGGGGCCCTCTGAGACCGTGTCAGGGGCTTCTTGGGGCGTCTTGGGGTCATCTTTGGGGTCTCGGGCCGTCTCGGAGGTCGCTTTGGGCCCTCTTGGGCGGCATCTGGGGCCCTTCTTGAGGCGTCTTGGCGCCATCTTGGGCTCTGGTCGGGTCGGCTTCGGCCCTCTTGGGCGTCTGTGAAGCCGTCTCGGGGTGATCAGGGGGTCCTGGCGCCGTCGGCGAGCGCTCCAGGGGCCTCCTGGGGCCGTCGAGGAGCGCCCCGGAGGCTCTCCTGGCGGCCCGCGGGCTCTCTGGGCGGTCCTGGGCGCTGCCACTGCGTCTACTACTCGCACGCGCTTCGCCCAAAATTGCAATACAGATGACATTGGGCTCCAGCTTCGCCTCCCGCATCTCGCTCAGCAGCGCCAGGGCCCGCTGCCACTGCTCTCCCTTCTCGCACGCGCTGATCCCAGCGTTGTAGCAGACTAGGGCGAACCCGTGGACTTCGTCCACGTCATCTTGGGTCAGTCTTGGCTCGAAAAGGCCGTCTTAGGCCTGTCTTCGCTCGAAATGGCGAGAAGGTGGAAATCTCTCAGAAACCATAGATGAGTCAATGATTTCGCTGGCCGCGGCTCGTCTGGAGCGTATTCGAGCGGTCTTGGGCCGTCTCGGAGGCCCTCTTGGACCGCTTCCTTCTCTTCGTCCGCCTTCCGCTCTACCTCCGCCTACACAGCCTTCGGAGCGTCACAGACGGCTATGGTGGGTCTGCGGTGTACGTCTCGCCGCTAGTCCATTGTGAAAGCACCTGGGCCCTTGAAAAAAGTCACCCAGAGGGCTCTGGTGACTTTTCTCCGGTTGCCTCTTCGAAGCCTGATGGCGGGCGCTGCCGTCTCCTTGGGAACAGTTAATGGGCCTCTCGGGGTTTCTTTTCGAGCTCCTGGGGGCATGTTGTGGCCTCGTTGGCTGCCTTGCGGCCTCCTAGGGGCCTCTTCGGGCACTCTTGGGCCGTCTTGCGGCCTCCTGGGGGCCTTTTCTTTTGAAATTTTGTTGGGGCGCCTCTGGGGCCGTTCCCGGGCTGTC